GGGGGGGGGGAGGGGCCGAGGGAGCACACCAGGCAAGAGGTGCCCAGACTGCCGCCAGCCTCCCGGCGGTGTTGCCTGTTTGATAACAGAGCAAGTGATGTGGCGCGCGTTCCGGGGAAGCCGCGGGGCAGGCGGGGGCTCGGTGGTCCGAGCATGACGACCGGCGCTGGCGGAGGCGGCCGCCCGTCGGCGCCCACATCACAGCGCGCCGCCCGCCAGGCCGCGAGGGGACTGCGAGGCACGGCGAGCGGGAGCCGGCCGGACAAGACGACCGCCCGAGGCCGCCCGGCACGCGCACGCGGCACACCTCCCCCGGCCCTGGCCGAAACAGGCCTGCGCAAGAAGGGCCAGGAGGGGCGGGAGGGGGGGGGGCGACGCGGGCTTTCGTCTGACCGCCCCGGTCGGGGGGGGGGGCGGGGGTGTCGGCCGGCGCAGGGCTCAGCGGCAGCGACGCGGGGCGGCTTCCCCCGGGCGCGGGCCGGGGCGGGTTTCCCGGGCGCGTGCGCGCGCCGGCCCTTCGGCCGGCATTCCCGGGGGACCCTCTTGTGTACTCCGGCGCGGCCGTGATGTGGCCCGGGGGGGGGGGCGGGGGCGCGCGCGGCAAGTCACCTCGCCCTGGCTCGGTCGGGCGCCACATCAGCCGCTCGCGGCCATTGTTGTCGGTCCAGTGGGGAGACCCACACAACGCCATCACGCACACCGATGGCCTCGTGGGGGGGGGGGGGGGGGGCGGCCTGGCTGAGTGTGCCCGCGCGCGCGTGTGGAAGCGCGTCGATGTATCCGCGCACGGCCCCTTTGGACTGCCCCGTGCAGCCCCTGCTTCTCTCCACGGCCCGCGCGGCTCTTGCCTCTTGCATTGGGCCCCTCCTCGGCCGTTTTTGCATCTGCAACGGCCGCACATGCAAGCATGCGTATGCCCGCACGCCCGCCCGCACGCACGCACCGGCACATCATGCACGTACATGCCCCGGTCCGTGCCCGCGCCCCGTAAGGGACGAGGCGTCCGAGACCCCCGCTCCGGGGGCATCCTGCGGAGCGCGCGAGAGCCCGCCAACCGAGGTGGCATAACAATCCATTGTGTGGCAGCTGTTGTTCCCAGCGTCCGGCGCCCAGCGTCTCGCCCCCCCCCCCCCCTCCCCCCGGGGCCGAAGTGATGTTGCCGGAGCCGGCCTCCTTCCGCCTTCACCAGCGCGGCCGGCCGCCAGCCGCCGGGGGCCCAGGGACGTGCATTGTTTATCCCCGGCGCCGTGGCGCCCGACGCCGACGCAGATCGCCCGTCTGCGTCCATCGTGTTCCTTCGGGTGTGCGCCGCGGGTGCCCCTCCCCCTTCCCCCCCCCCCCCCCCCCTTTGCAGCCTGCTCATGCAGTCAACCGACAGGCCCGGCGTGTGCCCGGAACTCGCTGCATGCCCCGGTGCCGTGCCTTTCCCTACGGACGTCCGGGTGCGGGCGGGTGGATGAGTGATGTGTGCTCGGGTCGGCGGCATTATTCGCACCCGCGCCCGCCGCCCGCTTCGCCCTCGGCGGGGGGGGGGGGGGTAAACGGCCCAGGCGGTCGGCCGGGGGTCTTTCCCTGTTCTCCGGCACACCGCCCACGGCGGTGGCCGAACACGGAGAAGCACCGGCGAGCCGCCGCGCGCGCGCGCGCGAGCGCGGGCGCGAGCCCCGCGGCTCGGTGCGCGGCCCCAGGGCTTGGCGCGCGGGGCCGGGCCAGGGCCGCGAACGGGCGGGGGCCGCCGGGCAGGGGACGAAACGGACGGGGCTACGGGCGAGCCCGAGAAACGGAACAAGTGAGCCGGCAAGCGCGCGCGCGGGAGCCGACTCGGCGAGCATTCCAGAGGCCCCGGCCGGGCCGGGGGGCGTCGGCCCGCCCATGCCTGGGTTGAGCATGCCACAATATCTATAAGGGGCAGTGTGCCAGGCGCTTCTTCCGGGACGGGTTACTCCAAACACTATCCTTTCCGATAGCCATTTTCTCCCCTCCCTTCTCCCCCTCCCTCCCTCTTTCTCGCCCACACGCCCCCCCCCTCTTCCCGTAAGTCCTGCGCCCTTTCCCCCCTCCCCTCCCCCCCCCTCTCGCTCTTTCCCATCTCCCCCCCCCATTGCAAGAGCAGCTCCCTGTGCCCGTGCGACGTGTCCCCCTCCCCCCTCCCGGCGGGAAAGGGGGCCGTATTCGTCTCCCCGCGCGCATCCTTCCCCCGGGGGGAGGCGAGAGACTCGCCCGGCGCTCGGCTGCGCCCGCCCATGCTCCTCCCATCCTTTCCGTGCGTCCCCTCTCCCCCTCTTTGCCTGCGTGTCCCCCTCCCCCCTTGCCTGTCCTCTTCCCTCCTCCCCTTGCCTGTCCTCTTCCCTCCTCCCCTTCCTGACGCCCATGACTAACCCCCCTCTTATCTTCTCCCAACCCTTCCTCAGGCTCTTCCTCTCTGCATCACCCCCTTCCCCCTGCCTGTGGTGTTTCTCCCCACTGGTTCCCCCCCCCCCTGCTCTCCGCCTCGCCCCTCGGTTTCTTTCTAACCCGCTCGGTCTCCCTCTTTGCCTCCACTGCGCGCGCGCACACACATGCGTTCCTGAAATGGCAGTCCACCTCCCCCCCTCTCTTCCACCATGTCCAAAAACGCTCCTTTCCTTCGTGAGTACAAGCTCGTCGTCGTCGGCGGTGGTGGTATGTCTTCCCTCTTGCCTGGTGTGCCCTTTCCCTCTCCCATTCTCACGGACCCACTCACCTTCCGATCTCCCCCTCCGTTCCCCCCTCCCTCTCTGCGCCTGCCCCCAGGTGTCGGCAAGTCCGCCCTGACTATTCAGTTCATTCAGTCTCACTTCGTTGACGAGTATGACCCCACCATCGAGGGTACGCTGCTTTTCGCTTCGCGCCTCCTCTGTCCTTGGCCTAGGCCTCCGGCGATCATCCACTCGCCCGTGTGTCTCGACGCGTCTAACTCTTCCCCCCTCGCCCGCTCTCCTCCCTCGCTGGCTCCTCCACCTCCCCCTCCCTCCCCTGCAGACTCGTACCGCAAGCAGTGCGTGATCGACGACGAGGTTGCCCTCCTCGATGTCCTCGATACCGCTGGTCAGGAGGAGTACAGGTACTGTCCCACTTTCCTTCGCAGGGGCTGGGCGCGCGCACCCGGGAGTGCCCCCCTTCCCATTCTTCCCGGCCCTCCTCCCTCCCCTCCCACCTCCAGCCACTCCCACCTCACCCGGTGACTGACTCCTCCTCCTCCTGTCCCCCCCGCCTTCGAAACACACGCACACACACACAGCGCCATGCGTGAGCAGTACATGCGCACTGGCGAGGGCTTCCTCTGCGTCTACGCCATCACCACCCAGTCTTCCTTCGATGAGGTGAACATCTTCCACCAGCAGATCCTCCGTGTCAAGGACAAGGACAACTTCCCCATCATTATCGTCGGCAACAAGTGCGACCGGGAGATGGAGCGCAAGATCACCAAGGAGATGGGCAAGGACCTGGCCCGCCAGTTCAACTGCAAGTTCATCGAGGCCTCCGCCAAGAGCAAGATCAACGTCGACGAGGCCTTCTACGAGCTGGTCCGTGAGATCCGTCGCTACCACAAGGAGTCCCAGCCCCGCAGCAGCCCCGGCAAGCGCCGCCCCTGCACCCTCTTCTAAGTGGGAGAAATAGGCAACCCCTTCGTCAAAAGAAGACTGGCTTCATCGCTCCTCCCTCCGTGTGTGTGTGTGTGTGTGTGTATGTGTTGGTGCAGGTGTAAGTGTTAGTGTGTGTGTGCTGGCAATGTGTGGATGCGCGCGTACGGGCACGGCGTGCCCCGCCTCCCCGCACCCCGCACCCCGAGCTGCTGTGCCCCCCCCACCGCCAGCACGGACTGCTCCAGCGACGGCGGGCTCTCCTGTGAAGCCCGGCTCAAAGCCCCCGCCAGGCCCCTAGGCCCCCCCAGGCCCCTCGGCCCCTCCGCCAGGGACCACCGCGCCGGCGCCACCGCCTCGCCCGCGGTCGACTGGCAGAAGGGCCCCCCCTCGGAGCTTCCCCCCACCACCGCCGCCATCACCACCACTGCCACCGCCGCCACCACCACCACCGCCGCCACCACCACCACCGCCGCCACCGCCACCCAAACACACCCCCCTGTCCTTGGATGATGTGGGGAGGGGGTGCGCGCGCCGGGAGGTGGCGAGAGACCGTAAGGGCAGGGGTGGGTCTCCCCTATACTCAGTTCAAGGCGCCCTCCCCAATCTCTTTATCTCCCTCTCTGTCCCCCCTCCCTTCCCATCCCCTCCCCTGGTGCTCGGGCGCTCGCGCGTGGGGGACCTGTCCTTCCATCCCATCTCCCTCCCTCTTTGGGGAACATCCTCCCCCCCCCCTCCCCGATGTGTCCCCGCGCCTCCTCTTTCCCCCGGGCGGACAGGGGGCCGGACCGCGCGCTGTCTCTCAGGGCACGGATCGGGGGGGGGGGGGGGGGGGGGCTCCCCCTCCCCCCTCTCGCCGTTTTTCCCCCTCGTTCCTCCCCCCCCCCTTTTATGCGCGCACGCGCGCACTCCAGCTGTTGCCATATCTTCGCGCTGCACAACACCCCCCACTTCACATCTCTCCCCCTCCCCTCCCCCTACCCCCCTCCCTCTTCTCTCCGCCACTCGCGTTGCCCTCCCTCCCTCCTCTGTAAATTCCCATGCTTCCGAAATATATGTACAAATACCTACTCTCTCCTCCCCCGTGTGTGTGTGTGTGTGTGTTGTGTCGTCCTGGTCCCGCCTCCCTCGTTCTTCTGCCTGGGGATCTCTCCGTGCGTGGCCAGGGGCGAGCGAGGGGGAAGACTTTTGGGCTTTTGGATTCGCGGCTCATGGGGCCTCCCCCGCGTGTGTGCAGGGCACGTCCCCCCCCCCCCCCCCCATCAGGATGAGTATGCCATGCATGTTTGGCGACAAAGGGGCAAGACAAATGGCCGGCCGGTGAGATGGGGTGTATTTCCTTCTCGCAGCCCTTCTCATCCCCGTCAGGACATGAAAGGAAGACATCAAGATGAGCCACCGCCCCCTGCACATGCGGCGATCAAATCATCGAGTCCAGCATGCTCTCCAGGTCGTCGAGATCCTGGGGCTTCACCGGGGCACCGATCGACCGGCCCAGAGCAAGGGCCTCCTCGGGGCTGGCCTGGCTGCTGGAGGCGGCCGGTGATGCCGGGGACACGGTCGCCGGAACTTGCGTCGGGTTGACGGGCTCCGCCGCGGGGGAGGGCGCCGGGCCCGTGGCGGCCGGCGTGTCGGCCGATGTCAAGCAGCCCGGCGTCTGTGGAGGGAGGCGAGCCAAGGCCGGACAGGAGGTGAGCACCAGGCCGGCGGAGGGCACATGCGACAATCGCCCGAGCATCAACGCACCAGGAGACACACCGGCAGAGCGTCCGGGATGTGGGAGGGGCAAAGAGAATCCACGGCCAAGGTGGAGGGATCCTGGGCCGAGCTCGAGGCAGCCTCCTGTGGCTGCAGGGGGCAGGAGATGGGCCGCCAGTGCGGGATGCATGTATGTCAGGCACCGGAAGAAGCAGAAAGCAGGGGCCAGGCAGGGGAGCAGGCAGATGACTGGGGCGCCCCTCCAAGCGGAGGATGCATCGTATGTCGGCTGGCCGTGGGGCGGCCGGCGGGAGGGACGCACCGCCAGTGCAGGAGCCTCAATCGGCGGGAGGGCCGGGTGCAGGGCGAGCGAGCCCATGGCAGTCAGCAGGGCGGGCGGGAGCTTGGGCGGCACGCGCGTGAAGGAATCCTTCGCCGGGGCCGGCGCAGGGGCTGCCTGCTCGGCGTGGACTCGCTGCGAGATGTCGTCCAGCAGCCCCAGGCAGGCGTCCACCGAGGAGTCTGGCCGAAGGACAAGACCTGGCCGGAGGGCCTCCAGCAGGAGAGTGTCGGCCTTCAGCCTATCCAGCACTTGGGGGTAGGTGTTGGGCACGCCATCTGGCGGGGAGGAGGCGACCGGCAGGGGCAGTGGGTCTTGCGTCAGCGCGCGAGGGCGGGGCAAAGGCAAAGGGCGCTGGCCCGAGGGGGAGGGAGGGAGAGAGAGAGGGAGAGAGAGACGCACCGTATGCGGCGAGGCCGGGCTGGTCAGGCTCCGCGAGGGCGGTGAAGACCTCCTGCAAGGAGGCAGTGCGGTTGTCGGGGCCAGAGGCAGTTGGGCTGGCAGCCGCGCCCTTCGCCGCCGAGGGCTTGCCACCACTCGAGGGCTTCTTGTCATGGCGCCGACGCCCGTGGAGGCTTGACCGGTAGCGCGAGGCACTGCGAGGGCAAAGGGACATGGGCAGTCAGTGGGCCGCCACAACAGCAGCGGCAGCATCAAAGCAGCAACAGGAGCGGGGCGCGGCGGAGGAGGCGTACTTGGCCTGCTTGAACGAGAGATCGGACATCGCGCGGGGCCGGGGATTGAGGGAGGCGCGAGGGCGATCTGCCGGCGGGGGGGGGTGGAGGATTGTCGGCGAGGGTGTGCGCTCGTCGCGCGTGGATGTGCGCGGTTGTCGTGCGGGCGGGGGGGGGGGGGGGGGGGGGGGGAGAGAGAGAGAGAGAGAGAGAGAGAGAGAGGGGGGGGGGGGGGGGGGGTGGCGGGGCGTTCCGGAACGTCGGATGGCGGCCGGGGGGGGGGGGGGGGGAATGGGGCGCGCGATCAGCACAGGAAGAGGCTGCAGGGTGGAGCCCAGGCGTGTTGACACTCTCGGGAGCGGGATTTCTATGTGGAAAAGGGCCCACTAGATGGGTAATTCGTGATATTGGCTGTGATATTGGCTGTGATATTCGGTGTGATATCGGAATTGCAATTCCACCTCCGCGGAACCCTAGTCTCGCCGTCTGTGTCTCCCTCGGCAGAGCCTTCTAGAGCAACTCCGCGCGGGGGGGGGGGCGTGTAATCCACCGGCGCCTTTGGGTCTGCGCCTTTTTTCCATCTTTTATTATCCCCGCCTCCCCCCTGGGGGGGGGGGGGGGGCGCTGTTGCTCCGAAACCCGGTGCCCAAGGCCCCTTTCGCTGGGAGGTGTTTCCCTCCCCGGCCCCGGTGCCTGGCGACGGGCCGCCACCACCATCCTAGAACGAGTGTGTGACGGTCCGCCGGAGTGCGGTCTTCACCCCCCCCGCCCCCCCCCCCCCCCCCGAAAACCCGGGTGGCAGACTCGAATCAGTTGGTCGCTCGTCCCTGGCCCCACTTGTGCAGGCCGGCCAACCCTAGGGATTTAGGTTCCTCCGGATGTGCATACCATTTCCCATTTTTCAAATGCCCAGCCTTGTTGGCGCAAGACCGTGCACAGGGGCCGGGAGTGCCGGGGGGCGAGGGAGAAGAGAGAGGCGCTGGCGGCCGAGGCGAAGCTGGGGGCCCGGGGTGGAGGGCCTTCCCGGCTGGCGGCCCAGGTTGAGGGCAAGGGGGGTCCTGCATCATCTGGTCCTGTGCGGCGGGCGGGAGGCGGGTTGGGCCGTGTGCGGGTCAATGCGCACACCTCCTGGGCTGATGGAGGTTGCACAGGCAGGTCTTTTTCCTCAGCGCGACCGGCTCGCTGCCGGCCCCTCGCGCCAGGAGCAGCATGCCCGCCTGCGCTTGGGCCCACTAGGCGAGTTCCCGGGTCCCACACACGCACACGTTCTGCTCCGCTGGCGGGGGATGTGGGCGCCGGGGGCGGCGCGTCCGCCCGGGGGGGGGGGGGCGGGGCCCGCTTGCATGTGGATGTGGGATACCCGGCGCCCCACACAGCTGGCCTTGCGTTGTTAAACCCCTGGCCGATGTGGGCCCGGCATCCGTGGCGCGAGGCGGGGCAGACGCCCGCCGGCAGCCACACACACCCACACCGCGGGGGGCCGGGGGGCCCGTGCCTGCGTTAGACGCGCTGACGCAAATCGCGGCCCGCGGCCGGCAGCGCGGCCCGCGCTGGGGAAGCGTTGGCTGGCCGGCCGCCGGGGCGAGGCGGCGGCGGCGGCGGCGCGAGCAAATGGTCCGCCTCGCCCCACTTGGGCTGATGGAGAGCCAGGGCGCGCGCGAGTGGGGGGCTGTTTTCCTGCCCCCCCCCCCCCCCCCCCCCCCCCCGCCCGGCTGGCCTGGCCCCCGGAGCCGGCGGGCGAGACATAAAATAAAATGGCCGCCAGCCGCCCATGCATGGGGAGGTGCCGGCGGCCGCTGGCCGGATCGCGGTGATTATGTAACCCCCCCCCCCCCCCCCGGCTCGGGGACCTGACCCTATTTCCTGGGTGACCGGTGCCCAGTCCGCGAGAGACGGCCCAACACGAGTGTCGCCCGGCCCGGGGCAGAAAAGGGCAGACGGAAGTCACTGGACGGGCCGGCGGCGGGGCAGGGCAGAGCACGAGAGCGGGGGCGAGCGTGGCCGCGAGCCAGACCCACGCCAGTGTCAAGTACACCGGGGCACCGGCGCGGCGGTTATGCCGTGCAGCGAGAGGGGCCGTGGCCGCGGCGGCGGTGGTAGAGACACAGCCGCCAGGGGGGGGGGGGGAGGTGACGCGCGCCAGCTGCCCGTCTGGCGCTCCTAGAGGGGGCGGCAGCACCCCAACCCCCCTGTGGGGCCAGCGGACACGTTCGGTGCGCGGCTTGCGCTGGCCAGCCGCGGGGGTCTCGACACACCGGGGGCAGGGGGTGTGTATGTGTGTGTGTGTGTGTGTGGGGGCGCGCGCCGGGTGTGGGGGGCGAGGCGGCGCAGGGCGACGGCGTCCCTCTTGCACTTTTGGTGCCTCGCGTCTCTCCGCCCCGTTCTCGCCGTCTGACTCTCTCCCTCGGGCCGGCGGCTGAAGGGTGACCATTCCGGCGCCTCCCTCCCCAGGCCCCGGCCACAGCCCTTTTTTGTTCCGTTTCGTCTGCTTTCGCCGTCCGATTTTCGCGCTCAACAAAGGACTCCGACAAGATGCTCAGCCTCCGTACTCTGAACAACACCGCCCAGAGCTTCGGTGCGTTTGCTCTTCTGTCCCCCTTTCCCCCTTTCCCCCCTTTCCCCCCTTTCCCCCTTTCCCCTTCCCTCCTCTCTCTGCTCCTCCCCTCTCGCCTCCCGGCGCCGTGCATTTGTCGCCCGCCGCCGCCGCCGCCACCACTGCCGCCGCCGTCGCTCGGCATGTGTCCCGTGTGCGCCCTGGCATGGTGCTGCAGGTGCCCCGCGCGTGTGCATCATAGCCGCACGCACACGGGCACCGGCGCGGGGGGCGAGAGGGCGACGACGGTGCAGGAAAAAAAAGGCAGCCCGCAGCACGCGGCGCAACTGCCTCCCATCCCCCTTGCGCCTCTCTGGTCCCCCTTCCTGCCACTCACACCCCCCTCCCTCTGGCCCTCTTCCCTCTCCCCCTCTCCGCTTGTCTCTTCTCCTTCGTTTGCCCGCGCCCCACCTTCTCCCCTCCCCGCTCGTAGTTCGCTACAACAGCTCTGCCGCCGCCGTCGCCGCCAAGAAGAACCTCGGTGCCATCCGCACTGTCATTGGTGCCGTCGTCGATGTGCAGTTCGAGAACGAGCTCCCCCCCATCCTGACCGCCCTGGAGGTCCAGGACTCCACCACCGGTCGCGTTGTCCTCGAGGTTGCCCAGCACCTTGGTGAGAACACCGTCCGCACCATTGCCATGGAGTCCACCGAGGGTCTCGTCCGTGGCCAGAAGGTCCTGGACACCGGTGCCCCCATCACCATTCCCGTCGGTCCCTCCACCCTCGGCCGCATTATGAACGTCATCGGTGAGTCCGTCGATGGCCGTGGTCCCATCATCTCCGACAAGTCTGCCCCCATCCACGCCACCGCTCCCTCCTTCGCCGACCAGTCCACCGACCCCGAGATTCTCGTCACCGGTATCAAGGTTCGTAGCCCGGCGTCTTTCCCCCTCCCGCGCGCCCCGCCCCGCCCGGCCCCGCGGCTGGCCGGCCGGCCGGCCGGCCGGCCTGTCCGCTGCCTCTCCCCCCTTGTCTCTGGCCCGCGCGCCACACGGCACGCACATGTGTCCTGACGTCCCCCCTCCCCTCCCCTTCGCCCCCCTCCCTTCGCGCAGGTCGTCGATATGCTTGCCCCCTACGCTCGTGGTGGTAAGATTGGTCTCTTCGGTGGTGCCGGTGTCGGCAAGACCGTGCTCATGACCGAGCTCATCAACAACGTCGCCAAAGTCCATGGTGGTTACTCCGTCTTCGGTGGTGTCGGCGAGCGCACTCGTGAGGGTAACGATCTCTACAACGAGATGATCCTCTCCGGTGTCATCCAGCTCGAGGGCTCCTCCAAGGCCGCCCTGGTCTACGGCCAGATGAACGAGCCCCCCGGTGCCCGTGCCCGTGTTGCCCTCACTGCCCTGACCCTGGCCGAGTACTTCCGTGACCAGGAGGGCCAGGATGTGCTGCTCTTCGTTGACAACATTTTCCGCTTCACCCAGGCCGGTTCCGAGGTGTCCGCCCTTCTGGGTCGTATTCCCTCTGCCGTCGGTTACCAGCCCACCCTGGCCACCGATATGGGTGCCATGCAGGAGCGTATTACCACCACCACCAAGGGTTCCATTACCTCCGTCCAGGCCATTTACGTCCCGGCTGATGATCTCACTGATCCCGCCCCGGCCACCACTTTCGCCCATCTGGACGCCACCACTGTGCTGTCCCGCCCGATTGCCGAGCTGGGTATCTACCCCGCCGTCGACCCGCTCGACTCCAAGTCCCGCATGCTTGACCCGCGCATTGTCGGCGAGGAGCACTACAGCATTGCCACTCGCGTACGTCCCTCGTCCCCCTGCCCCCCCCTCTCTCCCTCTCTCGTGCATGCGTCGCGCACACACACACGCGCGCGCGCGCGCGTCCTGGTCCCCCTCCGCTAACACAGCATTCGCTCCGTGTCGCCTTCCCGCCTCGCACACGCGCGCGCGCACACACACACACACAGGTCCAGCGCATCCTCCAGGACTACAAGTCCCTCCAGGATATCATTGCCATTCTCGGTATGGATGAGCTTTCCGAGGAGGACAAGCTCACCGTCGAGCGCGCCCGCAAGATCCAGCGTTTCCTGTCTCAGCCCTTCCAGACCGCCGAGGTCTTCACCGGCTTCCCTGGTGCCCTGGTCACCCTCGACGAGACCCTCCGCTCCTTCAAGGAGGTCCTCGACGGCAAGCACGACGACCTGCCCGAGTCCGCTTTCTACATGGTCGGCAACATCGACGACGCCCGCAAGAAGGGTGCCGAGATCCTCAAGCAGCTCGAGTCTCGCGGCAACTAAGCGCGCGCACTCTCGCCCCGTTCCCTTGTCGCGCCTTCCCCCTCCCTCCCCTCCTCCCCTCTCTCTCCCTCCCTGTCTGCCTCCTCTCGCCCTCTCCATCCGGGGGCGGGCGGCGGGGCAGTGCAGTGCAGTGTGTGCCTGAGCGAGAGGACAGGGCAAGAGGCGGCCGGCGCTACAATAACACCGGTGCATGCCAGTTGCTCCTCCCCCTCCCCGCGCCCCCCCCCTTTCCCCTCCTCCCTGCGGGGGGAGGGACAGGCGGGGGCGGCGGGTAGGGGCCCGGACAGGGGGGCCTGGGCCGCGCCCCCGCGTGTGTGACGCGCTCCTCCCCCTCCCAGCAGGTAGTAGCACGCATGGCCCTCGACCCTCGAATGAGCAGAGTGGCGCAGCAGCGGGGGGAGAGGCGCGTGGCCGGCCGGCGGCCAGCCATGTGTGTGGTGTCTCAGCCTCCTCGCGCGCCCCTGCGCGTGCTGTGGCTGGCCATCCCCTTCCTCCCTCCTCCCCCTTGCTCTCCTCTCTCTCCCTCGTGTGTGTGTGTGGCCTGCCGTGATGTGCCTCTACACATTCGTGCACACACGCGCGCGCGCCCCCCCCACCCCCTCTCCCTGTATAACTCTCCATAGTTCTATGCTCCACACAACGAAACCCCCCCTCCTCTCCCAATACACGCCTATATGCGCAATATATAGCCCCCCACACGTCGGTATGCCGCGTCGTCCCCTCCATTCGCGCTCTGCCTCTGCCGCCTTCCTTTCCCGTCTGTGTGTGTGTGTGTGTATGTGTGCGCGTGCGGTTGCGCGTCCATGGGGGATCTGCTTCGAGGGGGTTCTCTCGGCTGGTGTCGCGCCGGTCGGCGTGTGTCGTGCCGGCGTCGGAGAGAGCGTCACCCCGCCGCGAGGCGTCGGGTCTGTTTTTTGGCCCTGCTTCTCGGCCAAGGGCCCACTCTCGGCTCCCGCAGCTGTGTGTGTGTGTGTGTGTGTCGAAGTCGGCGCAGCAAAAACCGCCGGGGGGCTTGCTGCCTCTCTCGTGGCAGTTGATTGCATTCTTTTGCGTCTACTCTCTCGCCCTCTGACCGCCGCCGCCGGGCTACGCCTCCCCCCCCCCCCCCCCTGGGCCGGGTCCCTCGCCCCCCCCCCCCCCCCCCCCTTTGCCAGCAGATGACGAGAGCCCTGCAACGCGCGACGCTTGAGCATGACCCCCCCTTGCAAGGCTCCAGCCCTGTTCGCAACCAAATCGGCATTCGAAATAGAACAAAAGAGAATGTCATTCCAGGTCATTTTGCATGTGATTCACAGTCACCGGATCGCTCCTCGTGCACCACTGGACGCCCTGTCCTGGCGGCCGTGGCCATATGCTCCCCCTCCCCAGCCGTGCCGGGGCCCGCTCATGCCGCGTTCAACAGGCGCGCGACGCGCGTTTTTCCTCCGTCAGGAGCAGGCGTTCTGCCCGTCCCCCTGGCCTGCTGGAGGCGATAATTGGGGGGGGGGGGGGCGCGACGCAGGCTTCAGCTGGGCGTGGGGGGGACCGGCCCGGGGGCCACCACCATGGCCGCTGGGTAGCGATCACCGTGGGGCCTCTGCGCGCCCGCCTCTCCCGAACGGGGTGTCCCCCCGGCGGGGCTCAATTTCTGGCCGCCTGAACGGTGGAGGGCCCCGCCGAGCCTTCAACCGAGAGCAACAGGGCGCGAAGGAGAAGGAGGGGGGGGGAGGTGGGGGGGGGGGGCGAGGCCAACCAGACTGACCAACATGAGTGCGGCATCCCCCCCCCGCAGCCCGGCCGGGACTCGTCTCGACGTGCCCGCACACGCACTGCGGACGCGGGCCCGCGCACATACATGCACAGGGTGCGGGATATTCGCCCACCGGGGACGGAGGGGGGTCTCTGCTGCGGCGCCGCGCGCGTACACACACACACACACAGACAAGAGGGAAAACCATTTGTGTCTACATTTCCTCTCGTGACCGAGAGGAGGCTGGGGAGATTGTATTTGCAGTGTCACGGAGGAGGAGGCAGAAATCAACAAGGGCGCTGAGACTGCCCGCCCCCTCTGCGCCCCCTCCTGCCCTCCTCGTCTGCGTGCGGGCACACGGACAAACCCCTGGCGGACGCGGCGTCATTGCCAGCATCATGAGTGCCGGAGTGGGGTAGGAGGGGGGAGGGGGAGAGTAGGAGAGAAAAAAAGAAAAAAAAAGAACGAGCAGACGACGGGCGCGGCTGCGCCGTGCCTTTCCCCCCCATCCAAAGGAGAGTTGGTGTGGGGGGGGGGGGGGGAACAGGGGAGGGTTCCTCGATGTTCGCTGTGCCATGAAAGAGGAGAGGAGGAGCGGTGTGCTGGCCAAGAGAGCAGCACACCCTCGGACTCGGCTCGCTCTGTCGGGCCGCATGCGGCTAGCGCGCGCGAGTATGTGCGCGTATGTGTGTGTGTGGGGGGGGGGGGGAGGAGGAGAGGGAGGCGCGCAACTGGGGACGAATGTGCGGCATGTGACATCCCTGTCCCCGCGCGCTGGCTGCTCTCCCACCTGCACTCGCCATCGCCTCCAGAACTATGGAGAAGAGAGGGAGGAAGAGAGAAGCAGAGAAGGGCATGTGCCTGGGGAGGGTGGGGAGGGTGGGGGGAAGCCAATTCACAAGACAAAGCGGCACAGATGCCCCCTCGCCCACTGCCCGGCGGGGTAGCACCGGCAAAAGGGCTGGCCAGGGCCGCGCGCGCCTTAGACGACCTTCTTCAGCCACTCCCATGCCACCAGGGCGGCGATGGTGTGCGGGGCTGTCCGGACAAGCAGCGCACCGGCGCCGCTGTACAGGCCGGCCAGGCCCTCGGTCCGGGCAATCTGCAGGCCACGGCTCATGAGGCTGGCCCCGGCGGAGGAGGACTTCTCCGCGTAGAGGCGCGTGCTGACCACATCGAGCGGGGTCATGAAGATGGATGTGAAGCAGGCGGCCGAGGCGGCGGCGATGGTGATCTCCCCCGTGGACCCCGGGGTCGGGGAGAAGCCGGCCATCGAGTCTGACCGGAGGAAGCGCAGCATCATGCCATAGCCGGCCAGCTGGGAGCAAGACCCGACGGCTGTCCGGGCGGCCGCCACATTCGATCCCTTCCAGGCGCGGGCCGTCAGGACCGCCAGGCTGGGGCGCTGCTCCGGGACGAGGGCCGGGTGATTGCCGGCAGTGCCGCTCAGGGGGGCCGGCGCCGCCGAGTAGGTCGGCGGGAAGAGCAGAGCCCGGGTATGGTGGATGAAGGACCCCGCGGCGCCAGGGGTGCTTCGAGGGCAGAAGACTGCCTGCTGGCGGGTCTTGATCAGGTAGAACGGCGAGGCCAGGAAAGAGCCAAGGCCACCGGCGCCGATCTGCATGTGTGTGTGTGTGTGTGTGCGTGTGTGGAGGGAGAAGGTGAGATGTGTGGGGCAAGCGGGCTGTACGCGCACGCGCGCGCGCGCGCGCGAGCGAGCGAGCGCGAGAGACACAGAGAGAAGAGAGGAGGGAAAAGGAGGGCAGCACGCACACTGACGACCAGGGTCACCAGGAGGGGCATCTGTGTGGCGGTGGTGGCCGACGTGTCGCCGGGCTTCGGCGGGTACAGGGTGTTGGCCACGGTATCATACATCCCCAGACGCACGCCGTTCATGACGATCTGGAACATGTATGCGGCCGAGAGGCCACGGAAGAAAGACCGGGGACCTGGCGAAGGAGACCGACAAGAGAAGGGCAGATGGGGCGGCGGTCAGCGCGCATGCTGCTGGCGGGCCTGGCAAGTGTGCGAAGAAAAGGAAAGGAAAAAAAAAGAGAAACCAACGACCGGGGAAATCGGGCGAGCGGGACATACCCTCGAGCTTGTACAGATCGCGGGCCACCGAGTACATGGTCACCCGGGGGGTGATGGCGGTGGCCGGCGCGGCGGCCGCCGCCCCCAGCGAGGAGGCCGTCGAGCCGCGCAGGGCCACCGAGGTGGCGTTGGCCATCTGGCTGTTGGTGACAGCGGTCACCGGGGCGGCGGTGGCCGGGGGACTGGCCACCGGAGCCGCGGCCGCCGTGGTCGCCGGTGCCGGGGGGACCGCCACCGCGGACGGCTTGGCCGACGGGGCCACCCCCTTGGCCGCCTGGGCCGCCATGCCGGCCATCTGCAGGCGGACCTTGACCACCTCCAGCGGGTGGCTGATGTTGGCGGCAATGACATTGGCCACGGCGCCCAGGGCCACATGCCGCATGATGGAGGGCTGCTTGGCCTGCCCCGGGGCAGTGACGTTGGCAGCAGCAGCGGAGGTGGTGGTGGCGGCGGTGGCGGTGGCGGCGGCAGTGGTGGCCACCGCCGCCATATCGGTGCCACCGCCGACGCCGACGCCGGCGCCGCCAGCACCGCCGCTCACCAGCGGCGCCTTCATGTCGTCCAGCAACTCCGCCGGCGGGGAGATCGCGTGCGCCGGGGCAAAGTCGGTGCAGTGGTTCCCCAAGGAGCCGCCCGGGCTGGCAAGATGCCCGGCCACCAGGGTCGAAGTGCCGGCGAGGTGGGTGCCCGAATCCATGGATGCCATCGGAACGGAGGAGGTGTGCGGCTCGGAGTATGCGCCTCTGCCAAAGATGGCTGTTCACATTCGAGGCCGGCCAGAGGGGGCAGAGGGGGATCGGTTAGGGCGGCGCGCGTGTGGGTGTGCGTATCGGCACTTGCGAGTGGGGGCCGTACCAGCGGTGACTGGGCGGGAAGGGGGGAGTATCGCGGGACGCGAAGGCTCACTGGTTTTTTTTTGGCGGGGAGGAGAGGGGGAGATGTTCTCGTTTGGAACAAGGGAAGGACCGAGCGGCGCCGCGGCGACCGCCATCCAGGGTCGCTGCGCTTTGTGCCTGCCCCCTCGTGCCCCCCCTCTTGCTGGCTCTCCTTTCCCCCCTGGCACGCGTCACTGTGGCGGGCGTCCCCTCGTTGGGGCCGGCTCCCTGGCTGCCGAGGCGCTCAAGCCACCGGAAGAGGGCAGATCCGGCCGTGTGCCTGCCGTAGTAGGGGCCTGCGGTTGCGGGCGCCAGGCGGAGGGGTGTTCTCTCCCGCCCGGCCGCCCGCCCGGCGGTCCGGCGGGGTGCGCTGCCCGGCGTGCGGCCAGACCGGAGCAGGGGAAAGTCGCCCCGTGGACCGGGAGCTCTCCGTTCCGACCGAACGCCTGTGCGATGTGCCTGCACGGTGTGCCTGTGTGGCCGGTGGTCTCTAGCCGGAGTGACTCGCGCACCCTGGCTGCGCCCCCCCCCCCCCCCCGCGTCCTCGTGCGAGATGGGGGAGGGGGGCGCG